GTGTGTGTAGCTAAATCTGAAAAATCCAACATGTGGAGCAACTGGTGGAAAAGGTATTGTCTTGTGAGGACAACCACAGAGGACTTGTGAGGACAAGTGGGGCAAGCACATCAACATACAAAAAATAAGCAGCCACCTGTTCTGACTTTGTAAGTCATCACAAAGCCTTCTTGATGGTCTACTTTACGTTGAATGGAATCAAATCTATTGTTATAGAGTCGATTCCAACTCATTCAGATCATACAGGACAATGTAGAACTGCCCCATGGGGTTTTCATGGCTGCACTCTTATGGAAGTCTTTCTCCTATGAAATGAGTAGTTAGTTTGAAGTACTACTGTTAGCAGCCCAGACCTTAACTAATGTGCCACCAGGATTCCTAATGTCAAATAGGAGAGGATTCAAAATGCCTGTCTAGAATCCCCTGCCACGAAGGCAGAATGTGGAGCAAGCAGTCACCATGACCCTCAATGCTCATCACAGATGGTATCAAATTGGGGAGGGGAAAAACGTCTCCTCTCACACTCAAATGTCCTCAGTTAGGTCTACATCCTCATGCCTGCATCCAGGTCCCACCCTGCTGCTACAAGCCTCTTAACACTTTTCCAACCAGCTCCACCCTGATCCTGGCAATGACCCTTTGTCCAGGCCTTCCTGGGCCTTTGCATAGGATGACTGCACTTGGTTCCATATTTGACCTGCTGTTCACTCTAAGCTTCAACACAATCCTGTTGAATTGATGACTTATCCAAGTCCCTAAGACATCACAGTCCTAGAGCTGGGTGGGGCGGAGTCAGAATCCTATCCTATTCTGTCCAGCACAAACCAGTCTCTCTACTTTGTGGGCTAGCAGGAGGATCCTACAGTGTTTGTACAATGGTTTGGATGGGGAGAAAAAGGGCTCTAGCCTGAACTCCCAGGGACACAAATAGATTGTGTCAGGATCTTTCTAACTTGTCCCTAAGGAAGTCCTGCTTAATTCTGACCTCATGGATGGCGATCCTGGGTCCTTGTCTCTTCCAGGAAAGTTTGTGATTGAGCGCATACTACAGCATGACCTATTCTCTTCACAATAAAACTGCTGATAAAAAGCTGGTGGAGAGTGAAGAAGTATCTTGCCCAATATCCCACAACTCTCAGATGACAGAAATGATCCAGCCCAATGCAGGTGTCATCCCTTTAACCCTGAGACCCTTCACTGCCAGAGAATGACATGGAGGAGAGCTTCCTCATGGACTGTTGAGAAGGACATCCTCAAGCCATCCAGAGGAGACTGCCTGGAGGAGGTGTGTCTGCCAGGGTGCAACTAGCCCAGCAGGGAGATCTGGGTGGCATTCTTGGGGAACTGTGGAGGTTACCTGGTCAAGCCAGCCTCAACCATGAATTTCTCCCAGGCCTGGTCATCAGTCATCAGGAGTTGCAGCTGCTCTTGGCTCACAGTGTCCTCATAATACTCAGAGGACAGATATTCCTCAGTGTCTAGAGAATAAGAAGAGCACGGTTAGAGGAAACTTGTTATTGTTGTTAGGTGCTATTGAGTCAGCATCGACTCATAGTGACCCTATGCACAACAGAATGAAACCTGCCCAATCCTCAGCCAACCTCACAATTGTCACGCTTGAGTCCATTGATGCTGCCATTTTGCCAATCCATCTTGCTGGGAGTCTTCCTCTATTTCTCTGACCCTCCACCTTACCAAACATAAGATCCTTCTTCAGCGACTGGTAGCTCCTGACAATATGTTAGAAATATGAGAGATGAAGTTTGTTCATCCTGGTCTCCAAGGAGCACTCTGGCTGCATTTCCTCCAACACAGATCTGTTGGTTCTTTTGGCAGCCAATGGCACTTTCAATATTCTCCTCCAACACCATAACTCAAAAGCATCAATTCTTCTATGGTCTTTCTTATTCACTGTTCAGCTTTCGCATGCATATGAGGTTATTGAAAATACCGTGGCTTGGGTCAGGTGGACTTTAGTCCTCAAGCTGACATCTTTGCTCTTCATAGAGGAGGAAACTAGCAGCGCATAAACCACCTTGAGTATAACATGATGGTTAAACATACATCTCCCTGAGCTGCTGTTACTTGGAGCCCCCCCTTTTCCCCCCTAAATGTTTTATTGTGAATTATGTGATAGTTTACATGGGAGAACATTAGTTTTACATTCATCCTGTCGTATATCGATCGTTTCATTGACATGGTTACAATCCCCTCCATGCATCATCAACCAACCAAAGTGTATACACTATAAAGCCTGCACCCCAGTCATCAGCACACAGCCCCTCTCCCTCTTTGGATCTAAAGTCCCCAGCTGCTACTTGGAGCCCTTTTGATAGTATACCATGGGAAGTGTCTTGAAATTTTGTGGAGGAATGAGTCAATATCAGCTCAGAGCAACCAGAAAGTGAGTCTTCCAGTCCCAGAAAATGACAGAATCCATTGATAACTTCCATTTACCATGTGCTTCCTTTGGGATAAGCACCATATCAGTGTCTTCACAATGTGAATTGTAAACTATCAGTGAATCATGATATTAGTTTCTTGGCTCAAGGGCAGCATTTTGCAAAAACAAAAAGCAAAGCAAAACAAAAAAAATACAATGAAAAAGATCAGTGCTATGAATGTATTAGGGAAGATTATTGTTTTGTGAATTATTTCATATGTAATACACTGTCTTGTGGTATCAAGTCAATTTGGACTCATGGTAACTCCATTTGTTATACAGCAGAACTTGGCTTTAGTTTTGTTTTGTATGTTTTAGATCAGGATTTCTTTTTATTCCTTGTGGTTTGAAATAGCTAACCAGAATAAATAAACAGGACTCTTTCTAGAGGCTGGGGTCTCCCATGTTTAGGGTTACCCAGTACCATATTAGGTTGACTGAGGTGTACGTACCCACAAGAGGCAGTCCAAGGGGCCTAGATGTATTCCGTTTTTTAGCTCCAGTTTTTGTGATGAAAATACTGCTTTTTGGATTTAAAACTAATGTTGACAGATTAAGTTATGGGGAAGCTTTGAGGGACTCGCTGAAGAAGCCCACCATAAACTCTCTTCTCCAAAAGGGGGATAATTCAAGGTGGCTTACTGAATGAGGTCACCCTCTTTTGCTGATCTTCAACCACTACTACCAATGTCATGGAGTTGTGACCCTTTCCTGGAGAAACGAAGAGACAATGAACCCAGAAATGAACTCTTCCGTCTAAGTCCTGCCCTCCTCAGGCCGATTTCCCAAGCTCACCTCTTCTGAGCTTCCTTCCTGGATAGTAAGCATCCATGACTGGGGATACTAGTTTCTGAGTAACTGAGACAGAAGAGAGGGGATCATGGACAACAAGGGAGACTTCTGTGTCTCCCCTCTTTTCCTGCTTGTCTGAGGAATGGGAAGAGTAGGATCTCCTCTTTATGCCTCATATTCCCAGCCCAAGGTAGATAAAGAATTTCTTTGATATTATACATGCATACATATATGTATTTGTTGCTGGTAAGTGCCACTGAGTCATTTCTGACTTAAAGCAACCCTATATAGGGTTCCTGAGGAGTAGCTAGTGAGTTTGAACAGCCAATCTAGCGGTTCAAACTGACCCTGCAGTGGAGCTTATCCTACAGTGCCACACGAATGGTGTCACGTTCATCATCAACAAGAACATTTCAATATCTATCTTGAAGTACAATGCTGTCTGTGACAGGATAACATCCATATGCCTCCAAGGAAGACCAGTTTATACCACTATTATTCTAACGTGTGCAATGATCACTAAAGCCAGAGATGACCAAATTAAAGATTTCTAGCAACATTTTCACTATGAAATTGGTCAAATATGCAATCAAGATACGTTGATAATTGCTGGGGATTAGAATGCAAATGTTGGAAACAAAGAGGAAGGATCAGTAGTTGGAGAACATGGCCTTGGTGATAGAATTTTGCAAGACCAATGACTTCTTCATAGCAAATAACTTTTTAAAACAATATAACTATGCACATGGTCTTCACCTGAGGGAATACACAGGAATCAAATTGACTACATCTGTGGGAAGAGACGATGGAGAAGCTCAATATCATCAGCCAAAATGAGGCCAGAGACTGATGTGGAACAGACCATCAGTTGTTCATATACATATTCAGGTTGAAACTGAAGAAAATTAAAACAAGTTAAAAGCTAAATATGACCTTGAACATATTCCACCTGAATAGAGAGAATGTCTCAAGAACAGATTTGACGAATTAGACACTGATGAAAAACCAGACAAGTTGTGGGATGACATCAAGAATATCATACAGAAAGAAAACAAAAAGGTCCTTAAAAAAAACAAAAAAGAAGGAAAAGACCAAAATGGATGTTGGAAGACACTCTGAAACTTGCTTTCTAGCATAGAGATGTTAAAGCCAATGGAAGAAAGGAGGAGGTAAAAGAGCAGAAGAGAAAAATTTAAAGGGCAGCTTGAGAAGATGAAGTCAAATGTTATAATGAAATGTGCAAAAGTTAGAAAACCAAAAGGGAAAAACACACTCAGCATTTATGAAGCTGAAAGAAGTGAAGAAAAAAAATTAAGCCTAGATTTGCAATATTGAAGGATTCTATGGGCAAGTGGACTTCTGGTGTGGCACTGTAGGATCAGCACTGGACTGCAAACTATAAGGTCAGTAATTCAAACCCACCAGCTGCTCTTTGGAAACCCTATGCAGGGTCGATATGAGTCAGAACTGACTGTTGTTGTTGTTCTTGTTAAGTGCCATCGAGTCGGTTCCGACCCATAGCGACCCAGTATAGAACTGACTAGATGGCACTTAATAACAACCACAATGGGTAAAATATTGAATGATGCTGAAGGCATCAAAAGAAGATTGAAGGAATATACAGAGTTATTGTACCAAAAATGGTTGATGTTCTACCATTTCAAGAGGTATTCTCTGATCAAGAGCCAATGGTACTGAAGAAAGAAATCCAAGGTGCACTGAAGGCATTGGCAAAGAGCCAGGCTCTGGGAACTGATGGAATACAAGTTGAAATCTTTCAACAGACTTATGCAGCACTGGAGGCACTCAGTGATCTATGCCAAGAAATTTGTTAGAGATACATATTAAGATTTTAGAGATACATATTTGTGCCCATTCTAAAGAAAGGTGATCCAATGGAATGCAGAAATCATTGGACAATATCATTAATATCCTGTGGAAGTAAAAATTTGCTAAAAATAATTCAAAAACAGTTCTAACAGCATATTGACAGGGAATTGCCAGAGGTTCAAGCTGGGTGTAGAATGAAAGATATCAAAGCTGACATCAGGCAGATCTTGGCTGAAAATAGAGAATACCAGAAAGATGGTTACCTGTGTTTTATTGACGATGCAAAGACTTTCAATTGTGTTACTCATGACAAGCTATGGACAATATTATGACAACTGAGTATTCCAGAATATTTAATTGTCTTTGTGAGGAACCTGTACATAGAACAAGAGGCAGTCATTCAAACAGAACAAGGGGGCACGGAATTGTTTAAAATCAGGAATTGTGTGCACTAGGGTTGTATCCTTTCACCATACTTATTCAATCTGTATGCTTAGCAAATAATATGAGAAACTGGATTATATGAAGAAGAGTGTGTCATCAGGATTGGAGAAAGACTCATTAACAATTTGCAACATGAAGAAGACTTAAAATACTTACTGATGAAGGTCGAAGACCACAGCCTTTACTATGGGTTGCTCTTAGATGTAACGAAAACAAAAATCCTCACCACTGGATCAATAAATAACATGATAAATGGAGAAAAATTGAAGTTGTCAAATGTTCACTTTGCTTGGATCCACAGTCAACACTGATGGAAGCAATAGTCAATAAATCAAATAACGTATTGCATAAAGCAAATCTGTTGCAAAAGATCTTTTTAAAAATAGAGTCCTCGTGTGGCACTGTAGGATAAGCATTGGACTGCTAACTACAAGGTCGGTGGTTTAAACCTATCAGATGCTCTTTAGAAGTCCTGCACAGGGTTAATATGAGTCAGAGCTGACTTTATGACATTTAGCAGCAAAGTACTCAAGAGTAAAGATATCAGTTTGAGAACTAAGGTGTACCTACCTGACCCAAGTCACAAAATTTTCAGTCGCCTTATATGCATATGAAAGTTGGACAGTGAATAAAGAAGATCGTAGGAGAATCGATGCATTTGAAATATGGTCTTGGCAAAGAATATCAAAAGTACCATGGACTGCCAAAAGAAGAAACAAATCTATGTTGGAAGAAGTACAGCCAGAATGCTCCTTAGAAGCCAGGTTAGTAAAAGCTTATTTCTCATACTTGGGATATATTATCAGGAGGGACCAGTCTCTGGAGAAAGACATCATGCTTGGCTAAGTAGAGGGTCATTGACAAAGAGTAAGATCCCAGAGGAGATGGATTGACACAGTGGCAACATTGAGCTCAAATGTAATACCAGTTGTGAGGATGGCACAGGACCAGGCAGTGTTTTTATTCTGTCGTGCACAGAGACACTATGAGTTGGAAGTGACTCGATGCCACCCAAGAACAACAAGAAGAAAGACCTTGTTATGTGTGTATATATGTAGTAGTGTGTATATATGTAAAGACTGGGATATAGATGTGTTTCAGTTTTGAGAAATTTCCAGATTTTGGAAAGGAAATACTCTCCTAGCAGAGTCTAAGTAGCATCCTGTAATCCAACATTAAATTTTAAATTAATTTAGGGAATTAATTCATCAGGGAAAGGAATATTCCCATGAAACCAACCTGTTGCTATCGAGTCCATTCCAACTCTCACTGACCAACAAGACAGAGTAGAGCTGCCTCGTAATCTTTCTAGAATCACATTGTCACATCTTTTTCTCTCAGAGCAGTTGGTGGGTTTGAACTGCTGACCACGGATCAAAGAACAGTAAGTCTTAAAAGGTGGAAGAGTGGCTGCTACCACCATTTCTCCTGGCCCTAGTGTCGAGATTCAAAACTCCAAGGGGCTTTGAAAAAGCACTCAGTCTTGGAATCAATCTGTGCAGGGGAGGGAAGACCCAGGAGGGAAGGAAGGCAACCATCTGAGGTTCTTTGGTGGAGGCACTAGGCTCTGGACTCACATGGATATCTGATAGGAGGTACACTCCACTCCTAACATCTTCTTGACTTCTCCTCTTGTGGGACTACTAAGGGGTGGTTGGCCTGGGCCAGGGAAGGCGGAGCCTAGACTCCTGGACTGCCCACTGATTGGCTGGAGGTGGTCTTGTGCTGCATTCATCTCTGGATGTCAGTAATGGCTGTAAGACTGCTTATTCCAGCTCAAGACACTAGGTGGTGTTTTTTGGTGGCTGAAGATACAGATTAGCCCAAGTATGGGGCAGGTGGGCCTGGACCATGGACCCTAGTCCACAATCCCTTAGCCCTGGTCATTGTGACTTCTCCTTATCTCTCTCTCCTCCAGCTTGGTCTCAGAAACATGGTTCCCCATGAGCACCTAGTAACCCCACATCCTCAGTGTGCAAACCAGATATTATTCAACAAGAGACCATATGTTTTCACCAGGGAATGGTACCCCTCATGTGTCAGAGTATTTCTGGACTCCACAGGGCATTTGATGACTGATTAGTTTAGAAACAGACTGCCTAGGTTTTCTTCTAAGGTACCTCTGGTTGGACTCGAAACTGCAGCCCTTTGGTTTGCAGTTGAGCATATTAACTGTTTGTCCTCAGGCATCTGCTAACCTTAAGTCTCTGTGAAGGTTCCCAGGGCCATTATTGGGGAGTTCCTGACTCCTAATCTTTCCTCTCCTGCCTTATTTTCAGCGCAACTAAGTAACTCACAATTTACTCTTGACGGTGGTTCCTAAAGAGTTTGATTTGGTTGCCTTGGCAACTCAGTCAGGTGACTGATGGGATGGAAGGAAAACAGTCCTGAGGAGAGAGGACTTAGGAAACCTAGTGTTGATTTGGGGACAAGGGGTTGTTTTGTGGTTTATTTGACGTAATTCTCTGAAGGGAGAGAGGCAATCAGGATTTAGTGAGAGGGAACCCATAGCACGGAATCCATATAAGCAGTGATGGGGTGGGGCTGGGAGAAATAACTGAGAGCTAGGTCTCTCCAGGGGTGGTGGTAGGAGGGAATGTGAGGTCATTAGGGTGAATTCTTGCACAAGGAGGTGACACCTGGTAATCAGGTTCTTAAGGAGCTCTGGTAGTGTAGTGGTTACGAATCGGGCTAGGAACCGCAAGGTCAGCAGTTCGAAACTGCCAGCTGTCCCACGGGAGAAAGATGAGGCTTTCTGCTCCTGTA